ACACTATAATTAGATGTAACATAATAAATTAATGTCTAATTCAACCACATAAAGTTCTAATTATTCAACATTTTTCTCCAATCTATCTTTCATAAGATGTCGATAACTATTTCCACTATATGTGTTAGGGGTCTCTCTACATTCTCAACATCCAAATCGGATGTATAATACCAATTTTACCTTGCACGGATCAAATGTTTCACGTGTTGAATTTCAAGATAATTATTTACGCCTAGATATCACTAACACAGAGCAACAATAATATCGAGTACATGGGAAACAATCGTTATTAGAAGGCACTAGAGTTCTAGTGATGGGAAACAAACGAAGATCAGTTTTAAAACAACCGATTTTCATAATTTTAACAAGTGTCACGTCGAAATGAATCTTTATCAAAAAAAAAACAAACTCTTGTTTATTTCTAATTGTTATTATTGATTTGTAACTAATTGTTATTATGTTGTGTTCTAATATGATATGATTAAAACTACTATTGACTATAAATTTGAAATTTGAAACTAGTTGTCTTCACATTAAATGCCTTTCGGTAAATCTTTTAAGACCTTATAGGGTTTATCATTAGTTCTTATTAATACTGTTTCTCTTCGTAATTCTAGAAAAAGAAAACTACACGGAAAGGACGACAAGATAATATGTATGTATGCATACATTTGAATGGAAACTTTTTTTTTAATATTTACACACAATTATCGTTATTCTCTATCAAATCCCTATTAGACATGCATTAATTTAAATGAAATATATAAAATGTATCTATTATAAAGACATTCTGTCTCCACATTACCCAAAAATTAACGGACAAATTATTAGAATAAGAATGAATTTTGTTTTAATTTCGCTGTAAGTAACAGTAAAATAACTATACCTATCTAGAAACTCCCAAATCTTGTTATTGTCACACCTGCAAGACATCTGTATCTACACAAGCAGCAACAAATATAGCTAACACCATCAGCCATTACTTTACACGTGATTTGCTTTTACGTGGAGCATTATCAGGAGTAGTACCTTGCAGTGCACTGGTGTTAGATATGTTAATTTCATAGTTATTGTAATAAATTTTCGCCAAGTAATGCATGATTTTTATTAAATGCTAACAGCCAAACCATTCCTGATTTAGGTACAATCAATAGCACGTCAGTCTATACAAAACTGACAAATTTCTCCACTTGATTTTAAAACATAATGCATTGTAGGTAGAGTCAAAATCATTCGAGGATATTTGACATATAGCAACCTGACGTACAGACTGTGTGTACAATTATAATATATTGTATAAGACAAAAGATTACATTAAAAGGTTTCCATTCAAAAATCCATATCCAAAACATTTAATTACAAACCGGATATAATCGTAGGCAGTATCGTGTTAGACTTACATGACATTATAGATTATCGAATAACCTAATAATTGTAGTTCCGAATAACAGCCTTTGATTTGGCTTTTGTATAAGTCCTGTTACGTCACTGTCATATGCAGGGCCGGCTTGAGCGCGAGGCGGCTAGGGTTGGCCTCTGAGCGCGAAGCCACTAGTGTTGGCCTCTGAGCGCGCCGGCCTCTGAGTGTTACACGTAGCTCTCCATATGAGTGCTCGTCGACGGGCCCTAGAAGGATGCTTCTACCAAATAAGTTCCGTCCATTGCTACACCGGTTTGGTTCCCTTGCACTGTGCTCCCAGCAGGAATGTATTTTCCACACGCTTGCTGTGAATTAAACGGAGTAAGTTAAAACGAATAATGCTTATGAATCAACAAAGTGAACATTATATTGTTCTTTTCGTTATTCAGTAAATTTATTGTACATATTTTTATGATTTTAAAATATTTCCTTCACAAATATACAAAGAATTTAGCAATACCTACAATGCAACATAAGTTATGACAACTTAACAACAATTGAATAATCTCAGCGTTCGAAATAGCTGTGCATTTTTAATTTGCCATCGAGAATGTTTACGTGATCTCTATATACTTTTGACTAAAACGACGGTGTTTTCTACATAATGATTTCACTCAGGTGTGATTTGTCTAACCTACCTTCCTAAAATTATAACTAACTACATAATAATAAATGATACATTTTAAGCTGGACATCAAAAGCTGTCACATCAGTATAATTATAACTTACACTTTTATACCATTGTGTTTAAATAAAATATAAAAATAAAAAGTGTGATATTTAGAGCAATTGTGAAGATGTGGTGAGTTATTTCTTTTGTGTGCGAAACATGCCAATTATATATAAAAAAGGTACTTTGTAGACCCAACAGAGTGTTACGTGAGTGTAGTAAACGAAAGTTTGTTTTCAATATGTGTACGACTTGTGACCTTATCGGATGTCTTCGCTTCAATAGGATGCTTTATTCGGAGAGCATCTAAGACCTTTTAAGTTTTGCGTCCTACCTTCGTGTGTCATTAGGATCGCTCATCATATTATATTTTCCCCCGCATTTTTTGACAAATTATTCTAAATGTCACCTTCTTGTCGAGCCACTTGATAAGCATAAATGATTTATTTAATTTTACCATTCGATTTTGATTTGCCAATTGAATTTTGAAATGTATGCAGTGTGTTGGCATTACAGTTGAAACAAAGTCATATAATATGTTTCAACGTGCAAATTTCATAACATATAATATTTCTCTATATACACTCAAACAATTCCTCGACATCCTTCAATAGTATACGGAACACATAATCATATCAACACTCCTGGATCTACTATGCAGAATGCGTCGTTTAATTCTTTCCATAGTCATTATAATATACAATTAAAGAATGAAACGACAATATCACATACACATTAAATAATACAGACATATAAGAGCATACCTACAACAGGAATCACAAATAATTATACCTCACACTAATTAAATACTTTACAATATAGCAATTGTATAGCAAAAGCTTAAAATAACGACATTTATACATAGAGTTGTAAAACATGGTTGTAGGAAAATTTTCAAGCGATATATATAGATTTGCAGCCAACACCCTGCAGACATTTAAAGCCTCGACTTTGTTTAATGTGGTTAATATCACACAGTGAATACGGCCTCATAATGATTGGAAAAATAAAAACCTAACAACACATTGCCAATACAAAATCATGATTTCATTTACCCTGTAATGAACTGAAAATACTTTTCCATATAAAACCCTAATCGAACAAAGAAAAAAATAAACTTAACAAAAACTTTTTATCAACTGAATTTAATATGAAATAAGGCCGGCTATAAATGCACCGACATCACTGCGTGATAACACCGACCAACATACTGGTAACGGGTCTTCGCTGGGCGCGGCCGACACAGATGTGTCGGAAGGTCGCGAAGTCGCGGTGTACCTCCTGGCGCCCTTCATCCGTCCCTTTCTACTCGAGTCTAAAAGCAGGACCTGTCAGAGCCAATCCAATCAGCTATCGATATGAAAATCAACTTTATAAGTCAACTTTTGTAATTTATAGTTTTCACCTTTGTGTTTTATTTAATGTTTTTGTTTGTGAGGGTTGTAATGTTGTGTATTCATTCCCTACTTGTAAGGTGTCGAGGAAGATCTATGTTTTGAATAACTAAAATAACTAACTAGAAATTAAAATAACTATTTAAATATCCTCACCTATATACGTTTATCCTTCATAACTAGTTCTTTAAACTTACTAAAAATAATGTATAGCGTTGATTAACTTAAGTACTTACCACAGATGTCATTATCATATTGCAAAACACCGTGAAATCTTACTTTCTAGCTTCATTCTACAATAGTCAACATTTGAGACCTCATTTGTATTTAACATATAATTTAGGAGCTGTCAAACTGTACCCTAGCTTTAAGTCGCAAATAGCTTATATACAAACACATGAAGCTTTCGATGTGAAGTATTCCTTACAATCTGCACAATGGCCACATCACAATTGGCAATATTCATATCGCAATACAAGCAATATTTTGACCCTTATTACGTAGATTTGAAACTCGCTTGCCTTTGTAAATTTATCTTTGTTGTTAATGAGTTTGTAACAACAAAACCTTATTGGTAAATTGTTATATATAATATTTTTATTTTTTATTTGTTATTAGTTTGTTTACGTAATAAGGTCGTTACATATATAAAAATGTGCTTTCCAGCTGTACGACATAGTACCTCTTTTCTAGGGCAGGTAGAGAGCCCTATGGGGCTTATACACCGCACCGAGCGACGGCGCTTCTGTTATGAGAACGTTACTGATGATAACAATTAATCAACAATAAATAAACATAAACTAATTCCCAATAGATATCACATGTTTACGAATGTTTATATAAAATTGTAGAAAAAGAACGATTAAAAAAATATTTGGATCTCACAGAATTAGTTCAGAAATGAAAGACAGAAGAAAGTGAACAAATATTTGTAAATGCAATTTGCTTTTTCAAAGCTAAAACAAGGTTAACCTAATGTGCCTATTTATTTTAATAAAAGAAAAAACGGCGTTGTATATTTGAATTCAAAATTGAATTTTGTGTATTAGCGTAAGCGGCACAAAGTCAAAATTCAAACGTGTTATTTTTGGATTATTTAGTCGAAAACAAGGTATGTGTTAAAGCCGTCACCTGATACTTCTGTGGGCAGCATCCGCAGCGCGCGCAGCAAGCAAGCAGCGCTGGTGCGCGGCCCGAGTGAGCGGGCGAAGCGAGCGGTGACGGCGAGCCCGGCCGCTTGGCGGCGCCGTTGAATGGATTCTCTATTTCGACAAACTCGCGATCCTGCGAAACGTCAGTCAGCTAACCTCAAATTATTATCATCTGTTTATTTCTTATTTTCACACAACAACACATCGAGCGTAACATCTAATATAAATCGGTGTATAAAATTGTAGGACACAGGACTGGTAAATAAACCTTCTTAAAAAGACGTAAAATCATCCTCAAAATTCAAGATACCTATTTAAAATTTTTCATAATCTTCATTTTTGTTAATATTCTTTATCTCTTTTTTCATAAACTACCTAAAACAATAATCGTAATGCTTTATGAGTGATAATGGCAATTCTTTTTCAACTTTGCCGCAAACAATTAAAAACGCCGCAAAAAGAAATATATATTCATAGACGTATCTCGGGGGGAGCATCTTATAAAGCTGTGGGCCCACCATAGAAAAATATCCTTTCTTATATATAAAATAACTTTATTATTAACAAGATTCATGGCATGCCCCCCCCTTACGAAAAATCTCTAGCTATACCAATGTACTTATTACGAACGGCATGTAATCACAAGCAGCATCCGCCACCTGTTATGAGTAGTAGTTAATATAATGTGTACGGTACGGTGCATGGAAGTCAAAGTATGCTTGATGCACCTCGTAGCGAAAGCACTGTAATTGATAAGACGTTGATGATGGCCGGCAAAAGAGGGCGACAGCTGTAGCATCATAGACTTAAAAAAATATTTTTTGTAAATGTTATGCTCGATGTACAGACAACATTTATTCATGCACGTGCTACTAGAAAGTGTTGATATTATCCACTTTCTTGTTTACTTTTAATGATGTCTAATTGAAGTTAAATGGCGACATATGGATGATTTACAAATAATAATTGATTACAAAGGTATAGATAGTTAAATATGTCCTAAAATACCTATACAATTTAGATATTTCCAAATGAAGCATAATTTGGACAACTAAATAAACAAAGACGTTATTATTAAATATCATCACATATTTTCCGATATTTTTGAGTTTAAAGCATAGAGGAATCGACTATCCAATTCAGCTTGATTGGCACGAAACTTCTATGGGGTTTGTGAAGAATTCTTCTTGTGCTAGTACTATCAAAAAATCTTGTGAGTTTACAGTAATGTTTTCCATAAATTGATCATGATGAATATGATGAATTATTTGATAGTACCGAACAGATACTTGTACATTACTTGTGAAAACCGAAAAAGCATCTTATTAAAATCATGTTAAGGACGAATTCTCTTACCGTTGTGCGTTCTAGACATCTCAACAGATGATGATGCTGCAACTCGAAAATGTCTTCATCTCTACCCGTGTCGTCGAGTTCTACGCCCGACTCTTGGGCAGCGAGGCGAGCTTCTGCTGCCTTCTTCTTGGAGACGAAAGCCGCCCCTGATGATGCCTTGGCGATGCGGATACGTGCGAGGCGTGCTTTCTGGAATTTTCCAATGGATGCATATGAAATAATTATTTAGTAGCGTCGAAAAGTTAGCGCCAATGGCAGAAGCTTTTTTTAAGTTTCTAATCCAAAGTTGTCAAAGTCTTTGAGTGCCGATTGTTGAAAAGAATCGACCCGCCGTGATTCCCCATGATCTCCTACAAAACTCGATGGGTTTGGTTATTTATTTACAAAGTTCCTATGATCATTTCCCAATCCCACCATAAGACTATATAAATATCTCGGACGTCCTTGTCAAGAGAAATCAAACGAGCCCGAAACTGATGAAATTGCTTCGTAATTATAGACTTCCTATGGCCACCTTCTGGTTCATATTGATGTTGTCGCCTAAGATTTAATACGTAATCAAAAATCGGGAGGACAGGGGATCAACTTTAACGAAACTCAATAGCAGCTTGTAAATAAGAAGTAGCTACTAGACTATCTTGGTGGCAAATATAGGCAAATTGCATAAGTAAATTGGGTGATGAGTATGAATGTGGGTGGAAATGTAAGGAAAGGAAGATCAAAGAAAAGATGAACAGTGTGAATGACGATGATATGTAAAAGTGGGATGAATGTTGACACTATGACGATTGATATAGAAGTAACGAAGAAGTAAATTGGGACAAAAGCATGAAAATGTAATGACAGAAAATCTAAAAATCAAAGTTAAATAATAAAATATCTTTTGACTTCTTCCCAAAACAGGTGATTAATTACCTGTTTTGGGTCCGAACTTTCTTCATTTCATAGGATTCGAACGAAGTTTATATTGAACAGTATTTTATATTACAGAACTTTCAGTAGGTTTATACAAAAGTCGAACTTAATTCAAGCGATCATTTGATTTCTTTTTGGCCACTGCCTACAACTTGAAGTTGATAGCTCGCCTGATTTTAGATATTTACATTGACAAGTTAAGTGCTGAGTTATCTGGGACTGACATTACAAAATTAACAAACACCTATTTCTTTTGAAATTAATGCACACTGGCAATTGCAGATATTTTAAACAGGGGCGTGAAACACCAAAACATATCCTGTATAAACGAAGCATACATCTGCGACGACACATTACACAGCCAGGAATATCATAGACTTTTTGGAGGCTACTAGATTGGAGACTACTATAGCTCTGGCTGCGAGATTTCAGAATAGATCTTTTAGATCGCAGTGATTATAGTTCTGGAACTGGCATAACCCCTTTAGATTACAAATAATAATCGCGGAGAGGGAGCCGTGCCGTATAAGCGTGATCTTTAATATCAATTTCCAATAAACGACATATCCAACGTACCCTCTGCGCTTTGCGTTTATCAGCTCGCTGGTTCTGGTGGTAGATTCGTGAGAAGTTGGACACTATGACGGGGACGGGCAGGGCGATCACGAGCACACCGGACAGTGAACATACGCCGCCCACTATCTTGCCAGCTATCGTGCCAGGCACCATGTCACCGTACCTGGAAACGGAGAAAATTACTTAAGTCTTGTATGGCATCACCACTAAAGACCTATAATCTTATGTAAATGAGTTACGAAGCACAAAACTTTCGAACTGCTGGAAGACTTGGTCGATTATTTTTATGAATCCGCACGTCAAAAGGAATAAATTAAACTCTTATATTGCTCAGTTGTCGGTATGTCTGTCCGTCTGTTACAGTTTTTATACATAAATTATATGTAAGTCGTCGACCCAAAGGTAGCAGCCAATTAGCAATAAATGAGTTTTAAGCACGGCGAGGTCATTGAAATATATAGTTTACCCTTTTTAATACTAAGGTACATATTAAAAAGGGTAAACTATACTTTGTAAAGATATATTACGCTTATTTCTTATCATGTGACATATCAAACGAAAGGCTTATCGTCAGAATCTGCTTATTTATAATTATAGTAGCTTTCTCCCCGCAGCTTCACACACTTTTATTTGAATTTATATCAATATACATTTAAGGCGAAAAAATCCTATAACTTTTCTTGAAGTCTATTCTATCTGTGTACCAAATGTTTTTAAAATCGGTTTATTATTCAAGATTAAAACCTCAAAATTCAATATAAGTGTATGAAAGAAGATCATTATAAGTTAATTATTTAGAAAATTTTAATACTACATCTATATAAAAGCGAAAAATCATTCTTTCTCAATTTTTTTTTTATATTTAATGGGCTCACTCTTGACTTCAATCGAGTGGGACGTGTTCAGTGGGACGAGCTTGCCCACAAGGAACCTATTCACTTTTGCCTTAGGTTATAAGCACTCGGGAACATAGATGCCGGCAGTAGGTGCTCACCAAGATGAGATTATGTAAAATTCTATTCCCAAGGGTGAGTTTTAAGGGTTGTTAATAGATTTCTTAAAGGGTGAAACCGCTGGAATGTCAGTTATTTAATACAATGAATGTGTGCAAGCCCGAATAACTCTTGGCCGATTTTCATTTAAGAAAATTAATATGGAGAAAAAATTAGTTACAAAGCAAAAAGTAAAACCAACACTTTTTTTATATGAACTATTTTAGCGATATTGAACAGGTTTCTCTGTATACAAAATACACTAATTCATTAACTACAATTAGTAAAAGCGAGACTGATAAAAAAAAATCTTTAAAAATGATATCTTCCGAAGCACATACATTTCTGGCCACCTATTTAATGACTAACCTTTTCAAAAGTTGCTTAACGTCCGCAATCACAGTCAAAACGTACTCACTACCACAGACCTCCTACCAATACGAACACTGAATTTTTATTGCCGCGAATTAACTACCTATAATAGTAATCATATAACAAACATTTCATTTCACAGTAGCAATGTATGAACCTTGCAATACAGAAGAACGGCTTGTGTTTTTTTCTCACGCTACTGAAATATCAATGGTGCATTAAGCTTTCATCGGGTGGAGTTCAGTGTCTTCACAAGGCGATGGGAACATACGAAAGAATAATGCGTTTGTAAACTCGCGAAAACTTTGTAAATACAGTAAAATATTGTAATCTGTGCACTAAATACAATATTGTGTTCATTCCGATAACTCATATTTATTAACGATATTTTTCTCTTCTTTTCAAACTTACTAAAATCAGAAGTAAAAAAGAAAAGATGTCTAGAACCACGTAGCTATTTATGTTATATTAACATACTAAGAAGAAGAAGAAAAATTTATTACGATACTTACATTTATTATGATACTGTACCTATAGGTTGATGGTCAATTTCAAAACAAAATTTGTTCTTTTAACTGCATGTATTATTAAAATAAATTTTGTACTAATAAATTTAAGTAATATAAAAATAAGAAATTTAAAAAAATCCATAAAATCGATATGAACTTCATTTCGTGCACCGATAATACGAGGGCGGGATGATAAATAGCTAGCCTAGCATATAAAAACTTGAATTAGTGTCTTAAAAGTATATTTATTTTTCGACATAGTCTCCTTGAAGCGCTATGCACTTCATCCATCTATGCTCTAAAGCCTTGATGCCATCAAAATAACTGTCCACGGCAGACATCACCTCGCTATTATTTTCAAATCTTTGTCCACCTAAAAAAATTTTGGGCTTAGAGAATAGATGAAAGTCAGATGGTGCCAGATCAGGAGAATAAGCTGGGTGTGGTGTGGTAGCAAATCAAAATTTAATTCTTTGAATTTCGCCATCGCAGTGATGCACGTGTGAACGCGCGCATTATCCTGATGAAAGTTTATTTTTTTTAGCCAGGCCGGATCATTTTCACGAATACACACTTGTAATTTATCCAGTAGATAATATTCGCCATTTATGTTTTGTCCTTTTGGAAGGTAATCAACCATCAATATATCCTTCGAATCCCAAAATACCGACGCCATGACTTTCCCCGCTGATTTCACGGCTTTTGCTTCCTTTGGAGCCGGGGATACTTTTTCCGTCCATTGTTTAGACTGAATTGATGATTCAGGTATATAGTGATGAACCCAAGTCTCGTCTGTTGTAACAAATCGTCGCAGAAAATCAGTTGTATTGCTCTTAAAGCGGTCCAAACATTCTTGTGAAATTTGTATACGAACGCGTTTTTGGTCAACTGTAAGCAATCACGGCACCCACCTTGCGGATAATTTTTTCATACATAATTCTTGAGTTAAAATGTAATGCGCCCGTTCTTTAGAGATGCCTACAGTATCAGCTATCTCGGAAAGTTTCAATCTTCTGTCAGCTAAAACTGCATCATGAATTTTGATTACAATTTCTGGATAGTAGTGGCACTTTTTGGACGTCCTGGATGATGTTCATCTTGGGTGCTGGTACGGCCACGTTTAAATTCAGCCACCCAATTTTTTATGGTCGCATATGAAGGAGCATTTTCTCCCAAAACATCATTCAACTCCGAAAAAATCTCTCCACCTTTTAATCCTTTTAAATGCAAAAACTTTATCACAGCTCGTAGCTCAATTTTGTCCATTTTGCAGGAAAAACAAAAGAATGCTTTTTGAAATGTCAATATTTAAAAGAAAAACTTTACGATCGATTTGAAATTTGGAGCTAATGAACCAATGAGTAAAATACTAAGGAGATTTTATATCGTTATTATACAAAATTTCCCAATAAAGTTGGTCCCGGCTGCATTTGCAGTCGTTAATACCCTCCAATCCGCATTGGGCCAGCGTGGAGGGTCATGGCCCATCCTCCTTCACCATCCATAAGGAAGGCCTGAGCCCCTGCAGTGGGGACGTAAAAGGGCTGGTGGTGTGATACAAAATATGGGTTGGGCTAGCTATTTATCATCTCGCTACGTAATTTCCCTGTTTATAAATTTGATTTGAAAGAAATCCCTAAGTTTAAACGTTAAAGGTCAAGTCCTTTTCTTTTGGTTTTCATTTTATTTTATTGAAATATAACAGCTTCTTAATCTTCACTACATAGTTTAAAAAATAGTCGCTTTTTCTGTCCCTATCTATGCTTAAATCTGTAAAACTACGTAACGGATTTTGATGCGGTTTTTTCATAGATAGGGTGATTCAAAAGGAAGGTTTTTGTGTATAAGACCACGCGAGCGAAGCCGCTGACGGAAAGCTAGTATACTATATACCTACTAACATATGCTAATCTAGCTAATAGCAATTTTAAAATGAAATGTTATATACGAAACAAAATAAATATTATGTTGACAAACTTATGAAATGGAAACTATTGAACTGATCAGTTTTAACGATTAAGCATATATTTTTTTAAATATTTCATTTCTTTGGCGTTTTTGTATCAAAATTATACCCGTGTGTCTTCAAAGCTACCGTTTATGGCCAAGGTTATAAGCCCTTCGTTTGATCAAAGAAAAAACAACTTTATCGTCATAACACAGTGTCCGCAATCGATGTTACAGGCATCTTGAATCAACCGGGCGTTGGTAAAATGTTTATTTTCTTTAAAAATTCGCTTCCTACATTATCTGGTGGAATTTTAATTAATGCTTTTGATTAACGCCGCACGCGCATGTTTTTCAGTGAATCTAAAATACAAGTACTACGCAGTTTTCTTTTTGAAGTAACTCTGAATCATTGGTGCAAATTCTGTTGTATCACTCATTAAACTACAATTTTGCATTTACTTTTACGCTTTTTTGTAACCGATTTTTTTGTTTTTTAATTAGAATTTTTCAACTCTGCATCAGTGAGAGCCAGTCAACAAACCTTACAAACGAGCTCCATCACTTGGATTAAAATTATCTCTATGAAATCTTATTTTACTATTTGTAACAAATGTAAGAGTAAACGTCAACAAATCGTTCCGAATCTATATAAAATACTATCTGGACAAACAGCTAGACTGACAACTAACAAACTGCCTGGCTTGCGCCATTTTTTCCCGCTTTAGGAAGTTGTCTAGCTTGCCCCCATTTTTGCCGCTCAGAGCATTTGCCCGGTTTGGCCCACATTTTTGCCAGTCTGGGAAAATAAACGAATTGTCCGCTTTATATCAGGCGTAGAATTGTAAGATGCAACAAAATGACGATATAACAATGATGCAAAAAGACATGCATAAAGTAAAGGTCGAGCTACGTCGCCCTGTCCTTTTTTGCCGTGTAGAAACGTTTAGAGCTAGAAAGATACCGAAACTGAAACTAATGCATGCATTATGATACTGACCAGTGAAATAAATGTAATGAAACTAAATTCGCATAACTGGTTTTATTGTAAAATTATGTTAACTAGGCTTAATCTCGTGGAGCCCGGTCTTCTCTGTCTACCTTTCAATGAAACCAGCGTAAATATAAAGATAGACAGAGATGCATATATGTTAAACTTTGATGTTACCAACTATAACACAAAACAGATAAGTTTATTATAAACTATAGACTATGCAAATGACGTGCAGAACGCATCTTTAGATCTCTATTTATTTCGCTCTCAATATAAATTCACTTGTAAACCATTTTATGTCTTGTAGCAACTTTGAGGTTGTTTACGAATCACCGTTACATTAACGCCC